TATAAAACATTACGAGCGATATCTATGAAAAGTGAGTTTTACTTTTTTTGGCCTTTCGACTGGTCACTAATAAGACAATCAGAAGATTAACAGAAATATTTTAGAGAAAATTGAAGAGTAGTCACTCTGCTTCTCGAAGCTTCGCCGTCTCATTGGCCTGGGACTGAACGTTCCGGCTTCTAAAAGATCCGCTGTTGTCCCTGTAGTAAACATTACAATTCTTAGTATATCTTTCAGGGACGAAGCTATGCCTTTGAAGTACGCTTTCGGTAAGGATTTACTATCACAACTTTACTACACTTGACTGTTACCGTTCATGCAACAAAAGTTTTTGCCAATTTGACAAGGCGTCCCGAACGCACCCATTTCGCGAGAGATAACGCAATATATTGCCAATACGAATGAATTAATTTGCCTGTAGAATCCAACTTTTCTTCATTCGGATGGTATTACATTTTCAGTATTTTTTGAAGGTCTCTTCCGGAGCGAATCAGCGCGTTACTATAGGAGACAAAACATCGGAACAACTTAAATACGGACGGACAACTAGAGTGCCCGCAAGGGCATCAGAAGATGAACATCCATGAAGTTTTAATATGAGCGAGCTTGCGGGGCGTATCGAACGGAGGGCGGCAGCTTTGAGGGTCCTGCTATTAGTGCTTGGCTCCTTTCCTCTCATTGTTAGATTCCGTTGTCTCTTGTCCTTTCAAACAACAAAAAAAGGCAAAGTTCATTACCACTATAGACAGTATGCGCAAACGAGGAGGTGACTTGCTCGTCTACAAAACAAGGTACCACGCTGTCAAACATGGCGGTGTGAGCTCGTTAGGATATCGACGGTCATTTTTGCAATGTCCTCGAACAACATCAGCCACGCAACGACAGTGATCGTTTTTCTTTTACTAACATTTCGTTTATACATCTGTTGTAATTATTTCCATTGTGTTGACGCTATGCGGTCGACTGGTTTTTAGTAGGACTGCATATACTCATACCTTACTTCGATTCGCTGATTTCTAGGATGCAAGCGTATCTATGTCCTGGCCTCCTTTCTGTTGATTTCTAGTTGTGCCGATCAGGCAAAATGGCTCACCTTTAATGATTTATAGATACAATTTTCTGATCTAAGCTATACTATCGTATATAAGCAGTGACCTTACATCTTGACCAATGTTACTGGAGTTGGCTCCATTACTACATGCGGCAAGAGATGGTTTAATCATGTTGAAAACGTTTCATCTATATACGCAGAACAGATAGTCCCTATGGCGCAGTAAATGGATCGTATTTTCCAGAAGCGTTCCCTCGACAGTTGCTTAGTGCGAGAGACAAGTGTATTTAAATAAGCACTAGCTAAAATTCGCGTTATTTCACCTAGAGTTTTTACTGTTTTACGATGAAAAGGTTTAACAGTTATGCAGGGTGTCGGCTGCCATGTCCCTATGTGAGATGTTTTTCCTTTGATCTGCCTTCGATGTTGTAGACCCCGTCACTTGTGGGAGTGCTGCCCAACGTATATAACAGCTAGCGACTTAGTTTATACTATAATAATGGAGCGGATCCCTCTTTTACCTTCCGTCGGCTATTGAATAAGCGTATAACGTCAAGCCTGATCGACAACCGGGGACTCTACTGTAACAACGAGCGATTAGATATGGGACAGAGCAAGACTAAGAAAAATTCCTATTTAGCCTTACTTAGCTTACCAGCCTTTTACTGTATACCTGTATAGTAGACCATTTTTGCTTACCTATATTTCACTAAAACTTTACGCCCATAATGAGATATTTCTCACAACATTACCACTCCATTACCTTATGTCTAATTAGTCATTGTCAGTCGCCTCATACTACCTTCTTAGTATCATACGTAATCTCGGTTAGTTTATAGCACAGACATTTATTACTTGATACATTCGTAACAAATCATTACGCGGGTGCGTACATATTTGCCTATTGGTATTCTGTCCTTAGGTCTCTCTCTCTCCCACACCGCCGCCGCCGCCGTCGCCGCCGTCTCAATTTATCTTGACCAGCGATGGCTACCGCAACCGCTATAAGTATTATAGTCCATGCAACCCTTTATTGTGCGTCTTTAATTGTGAGCGGCTCGTGAGGCTGTATAGTTTATGAGGGTCCGGTCTGATTTGCGAGGACAGCTGACTAGGTCCCTTTTAATGAGATGACGTATCGAAATAGGATACAAGAAACGTGTAGCTCTTTTCAGCACATGTGTTAATTCGTAAAATGATTTATATTGCGTTCGTACATGCAATGAGATCAATTGGATTGGGCAGTGCATATCGTTCAAGGAATAGGCCTAAAATGACCTAGCTATTGTTAACTAATAGCAACAGAGTAATTCGTGGGTCATCCGTTTAGAGGCTGGCACAGTGTACAGACAAGTAGCGTCAGCGTCACAGAACAATCGAAGTTGTCGTGGCTCTATAATTCGTTTATGTCAAATAACTGTTATTAATTATCTAGATGTGCTAACTATCTAGGTCTGGCTAACTATGGTTGGTTTTTCAGTCGTTCCGAGTTCCTATCTGCTGCACGTTTTTTCAGACGCACGTCCTTATTTTTTCCTGCTTATCTTATGATTACCTTTCGTTGCCTATTCCCAGAACAGCTGGCTGGCGGTCTGCCATAGTGTGTAGAGAACGTATTTGTATATGTGGTGCAAATATTATGTCCCTGGCAGAAAATTTCAGACACGATTATGATAATTAAATGGTTACTAAGCATATATATTATTAAAGTAATAGAAAAAGCGTTCACCATAACTAACAATACCTCTTTGATTTGCCAAACGTCACCCACTTATAAATTTGGGTTTCTGCTATCCGCGCTACCGCCTTAACCTGCTTTAGTCTTTGCTTGTTAAACACACGAACATAATCCACTTGAAAAAAATCAGCGCCTTTTCTCTTTTTATCAAATAAACAATAACACCTATAACAGCAGTTTTTGAAGGCAAAAAAAGATATTTAACAATGCTCCCAATTTTCGCATACGTTTATATTGTTCGTATGCGCAGCATAATCGACACTTCATAATGACCATTGAATGAAGTAAACACACAGGTCAACGGTACCGATCCGGCTACCCATAGAGAACGTAGTCTATTGGGTCATTCTCTGTTTTTCCCACTTCTGTCTTCATCATTTGATTTTTCTTCGTCGTCTTCGCTATAATTATGTAACATATCTTTCTATTCTATCTCTAGAACTATTGGCCACGTATTTACTTCTCCATACATCTCTGCCGAATGAGCGTATTACCTCGGCATGACGCAACAATCATTACTCCTTTGTCTGTCGTTGTCCGATACGACCAGATGCGAAAAGATGTAGAGACTCTAAACACGAGAACAGCATCGAGTAGCCTTTGAATTTGAGTCGTCATGAAGACGTCTTCGGTGAAGTTCGGCGAGCTTGGCTAACAGACAGCGACCCACAAGTACCTGCTACTGTAACGTCAGCATTTGTGTATAAGGCCATTTTCACTGTCTGCCAAGGTTGAAACGGAACTATTTGACAGACTGGACTTAACAGTGACTCAGCCGGCATTCGGCATTAACGTTTCAGAGGTCTCGTGACCTTAATCGATCGGCTCGTATGTATATGCTGCAGTATAGAGGATGTGGTAAACATAACCATGAATTGATAAACTACCCATATTTAATTAAACACTCTCAATTGCTGTTCCTGCTTGACGGAACGCACCTATGTAAAATAGAACTAGCTAAAGACGTATCACGTTCTCGCTTGATATGGGGTAGAGGTGACGAATCGTAGAACGTGGTATCGTTTTGTTGGTGCACTGGCAAACAATCGCCGTAGCAGTATGTTAATGGTTACGATAGATACAGGCCAATGTGGTACCAACATGTAAAGGCACTCCTTATTATGTAATCAGTATTGCACCTATGGACAACGCCTGTTAAATTGAAATTGACCCCTTAACGACCACATTAGCTCATTTAACACTGAGCAAACTCCTACGAACTACTGCGACCGCGTCTTTTTTGTACGCGTGCATACGAGATGTGTATGGCGTCTAGGGATATCCTGAAAAATTATTATTTTCTTACCTTGTTTCAAGCGAGATAGATATGCGTGTCCTTTTTATCTGAGCTTGCAATAGACTCGGAGTTTTATTACGATATAAAACAGTAACAAACGGATGAATTGCAAGCGTTTATTTTCTATACATTGGATTACCTCATACTTAATAATTCTAGATTGGAGTTGAATCATGCTAAAGAAACTGGGCGCAGTTATGTTGAAAATTATATACGCGAATTATATAGCGATAGCAATCATAACGGAGCAAGGTACAGTATAGTTATTATGCATTGTTTCCTTTTCGTGTCAACGTCGTTGCCATATCTTCGTTGATTTTTTAGCTGTGTCCATATGTCCCCACTCGCAACCAGTAATCGATAGAGCTGTATAGCAAAGGTTGTTCCATATCGCTCTATATATAGCAAGTTCCGTCTGAATTCGATCTTTTGTTACCACAACTAGACAAGCTACTTTTTTACTTGTAAGTTCTGAAAAATCCGGAAAAGATTTTTGTGGGACAAATCAGAGGAAGATTCTTAAGAGGATTTAGTTTCAGTACGGATAAGCTAATGTAATAATAATACAGTGTAAGTTTAAACATACTATTAGTAAACGTTATTAGTTCACATGATTGCAATACTTTCTGCTAATCTATGAACCGTCCAGCTTACGACAATGGCCATCAACCTAAGTTTAGAACCCCAGAGCGTTACAGCCTACCTACTCACCGCTATTTGTTTCCTGTTGCCGACACATGTCAAAACCGGTTCCTGACATGTAACCTTCTATCTATGGTGCACATTAATATAAACATTTTCATAAAATTTCCTAGAAATATATGTCGGTTTGTTTGAGAGGGGTCGTATTATTAAACATGACGTCAATAGACCATACTCGCTCGATTTTTGTTAGCCAAGAAAATTTTACCTACCTGTGCGAAGTTACCCATTAAACATAGCTAGACACAAGCGTTGAGATAGTGGTTTTCCATCTATTAGGCGACTGAAAGGTATACAAGGGAGCAAAACAGAAAGTAACATGCATTGAACAGCATTGCTATGTAGACTTGGAATGGCGACAGTTCTAGAGCTACTGTAATTTCTGCTGGGTCTACATCGAACAGCAGCAACGCGTTAAACACCAATGCTGACCAACATGGTTATTGCCATTTGATGTCCCTCAAGGCTACAACTAAGACGGCGAGGCCTAGTTTTCTTGGCAAAATCGCTGAACTGCATCAACGTAGCAGCGTCCTGCTTGTTGCCATGGCCATATACCGATGAAATGTTTCTCGTATAACCTTGAACGCCGTCCCAGAGGCCTCCATTGCCTATATATCCATAAACTTGTGGAGTGCGAAGCCGGTGGAAGCGAGTAAGAGGGGGAGAGAGAGAGAGAGAGAGATAGCGAGATAGAAGGAGGGAGCGGGAGAGAGAGAGATCGAGCTGTTATTATACGAGCTGGAATAGGTATAAGCTCCGAATGTTATAGGTGCCCATTCGCATTCATGAAAACGCCGCCATTTAGGAGTTGACGTTGCTTTTATGTGGGCTTTTCCAAATTTTTCCTTATTATTATAGCTGGAGAAGTGCAAACTAATTTGTGGTTCTTACTCTAGTTCACTAGTCAGCCTCTAGAGTCAGTGAAGATCTGAGGTACCTTGCTCTTGAAAGACAAAAAGGCGTCTTTTTTTTATCTATTTCTGAAATATTTATCTCTTCTGGTAAAACAGCCACTGCAATTCGAATCCTAAAGTTTTTTTTTTCTTTAATTTTGGTGCCCAGCTTGTTAGGTCAGCTTTATTGGGATATTTTAAGGCAGAAAAAAATTATTTAGCTTAAGGAAAGACGAAACGGCATTACGGAACCTTTACTCTGGGGAGACTATCTTGTCTCAGTTGCTCGACTTTCGTAAAGTTCCCACTAAAAGAGACGGCTAAACCAACCATTTAATGCTGCCTATCGAAATTTAAGGGAAATCATTTTTTAAAAACTTCTACAATCCTGTTTTTTGTGTCGTCAAAACCTTAACTGTGATCGAAGTGTTGTTCCAAACGCACTCCGTAATGCTAATAGTGTTGAAACACAAGTACAACTATCTATTATGTACATTATCGTTGAAAGAAAAAACCATATTTGTATTATTGTCTATTTATTAATAACACTTTCATCATTTATCGATTATTAGTATCCTTATTGTTAATATTATCATAACTGTGTTATTAATTACGTTATTTATATTTTGTTATTATTTTATGCATCTTCGTTGTGTTTCTGGCTGTTCGTATTCTGTTACCGTTTGTAGTTTTTTTTTACAGCTTTCGTGTTTATTGGGCAGTCGCCTTTGCTGTCTCACCAGTATCATCGATCATCATCGTTTCATATTTTGGTCTACGCTATTCTATCTACGCTTCTCGTTCTTTTGCCGCTTTACTTCTAGCCATGATATTAAATTTTCTACACATTTACCATTTTGTTTTAATTCTGTAATTATTGTCAATCTGATTGCTTTCGTTGCCTTCTAATTCGGGTTACCATCACGTTCGCAGTATTAATTCCGTCTGAATGAATTTCTTGCGGATTTGTCACCAGTCGTCTAAGTTATTTGCAATCCTTTTTTTTTTTTTTGTCCTATCTATATACCTACGTTTCATGTAGGAATAACTTGTGTTTTTCATAATCCATTTATTTTTTATAATCATGTAGTGACCAGGTTATAATAGTTACGCAATGTCACATGTAGGCGGCTGGGTGTATGTCGAACTTCGGCATCGTTAGCTTCATTATTATTATTATTATTATTATTATTGTTTTCCTTAATAGACCTTTTTGTTATTATTCGTTATACATATATGTGTAACAAATTAGGTTGGCGTTTCAAAGTAGGACACGGACCAGGTGATTTCGGCCAAATTTTGTGTAAAGTGGCCTTAAGTTTATAAAGTCTAAAGTCACTTGTCACATTGCTGCTATTTAAAGCTGCTCAATTACTCTGTTAAATCTAGTGGAATCAAACAATGTGTTTTTGTTGTGTAAGTATATTTTGCCATTGCAACTTAGTATGGCGCATGGTCACGACAAGCAAGTTGACAAACAATGCGTCAATGGTGATTTTAATGTAGTACAAAAATAAATACAAACAATTAAATAATCCTGACTCACCTCCATGCTTCGTTGTTCTTCAGATTGGCCATATGCAGACACCACGTAGGCTTGAAACTAGCCATATTTCCAAATTATTATGCTTTAAATTATTTTAGAAAAAATCAGAGAATTTACATTTAAGCCCCAAAAAATCCTCAGGATTGCTTACGGTGTGTAGCAGAGACCGATATTTATATTTTTCGTAAAACCAATGCAGTGTTTTTTTAAAATTTTTCAATTTAACTTAGGCGGTCGAAAGTATTATGAACGGATTTTGCGCATTTTCTTAAAAGATAGTCACCTCTAAAGGAAATTGTGCTGCAGCAACAGCCGGCCTTTGTGGCCTATTAAAGATGCTTGTACCTATACGGTCGTGCGTGACTGAGACCGGATTGAACTTGTCGTAGCTGTTTTATTCAATGGCGATCTTGTTACGTTTATTTACGAATGTTTATTAAAGAAGTGCTTGTTAACGCAACATTATCGCTTCGTATTAAAGCTCTTAGTGACTTAAGAATAACCCACTTATGTATATTTAGTTTTTTTCCACTGTTGACCTTTCTTGGGGCTTTTGTGACAATCAACCGACGAGCCTATTATTTACGCTGGACTTGATTCCTATAGACATATTCGCAAACGACCTTCTTAAAAACAAAAAAATGTTTGGTTCAAGAAAAAAAACAAAAACATTAAAAAGTTATAAAATTTTAAGTAATAAAATCTTAAGGGAGTCTGTATAATTTAGCAACGTAATGGAATTTCATTACTCAGTATTATCGAAATTTTCCTATAATTAAATGTTTGCCTTCAAAACCTAAATAGGTGACATGTACATCGAACGAAGTAGACGTAATCTATAAATGATGAAATTAATTTTTGCGTGACTGACGACTGTATTTTGTCTCCATGAATGGGTGTCAGAAAAATGAGCCTCTGAACAGTTAGCTTTCGTTCTGGATAGATCTTTGTTTACTTTTTCATGGTTAGATATTAGTTTGCAGAATGGACCGCTTCTCTTTTTGTATTTTTGCTGTTTTTCTCGGTTACTTTTGATATACGCACACACACACACACACACACACACACACGCACGCACACACACACGAATGTGTATATATATATATATATATATATGACCATGTAGATATCTTATTTGGTTATTATGCGGCGTAACAGCGACGACTTTATAAGGAGACATCGATTAATAGTCAGTCAAGGCTACGGCTAGTTCGTGTTTACTTCGTAGACGTCTATGTATTGCTTGGTTGAGAGGAAGAAACTTGGCCTGCCCGCCTTGTGGTCGAGTGCGAAGGCATCGACGTTTTTCTATTATAATATCCCATAACCATATAAACCGCTATATGTTCATATTGTATGATCTACACCATTCATCGGTCACATAGTCGCTTCCCTGTTTAAAGCAGTTACATAGGTCTCCAATAGACAGTACATAACTGTGCGTTTACAACCAATCAATAGTTGCTCAACATCTTGATAAGCTGTTAGATATTGGTAAGATTACTATTTTGGTTTCATTTTCGATACAGGACAATGTTCATGCCTGTCTTCTGCTTCGGGACACCTAAAAAAGGAAAAAACTAGGACCCTTTTCTTCCTCTCTGTTGCAGCAATATTGTCTTTTTTTTTTCTGTCAGTAGTGCGAATAACGAGATGTCTTCTCGGAATCTTCACATACGGTACGGTGTAATTGCATTAATAACTGGTAGTTAGGGGAATGAAACGACTTTGTTCTCACTAGCGAGCTGGCTCTGAGGCACTAGAATGACACTGCAGGACGAACATATGGCCCTTAAATACGCCATCGATCCCCGTTGGCAAGACACTTTGTTTTTATTAGCTTCAGTTTTATTTTCCAGTCTACTGACTGTTTGCGTTACTTCGCAGAAGACGTTAGTTGATGTAAAAGTAGAATGTCTTCTTGATGGTGCTCGGTACAACGGTTTTTACTCCTAGTACCTTTTGTTCTTGTATATTCATACCGCATGATACAGCTTAGACCTGTTAGAGTGCTTGGTAAACAGTCATATCGACATTTAGCGAGTGGCGTATGGATCAACACGGGTTGCCAATGCCAAATTAGCGCCGCTCTGAGTATTAATTATAATGTGATATGATTTAACTGGATCATGTACTTAATCATACGGTCACACTTCGAGTGACTTGTCACCAGTACAGACACATCGACACACACCCATACATACCACCCTCAAGTTACTCAAATTTAGTTTTTTTTTTTTCTTATCTTTTACCCGTTCATACATTCATGGTCTGTTTCCGAGCCAAGTCCACTGGATTTTCTTCATTGTTATTTGGTTATCGCTGTCTGTTATTTCTCGTTGCTCTTATTATTTGCTAGGTTTCATAAGGTTGGCTGGCTTTTGCTGTTCCGTGTCATTGATCGAACATGCTTGCTCGCATGCAGCAGATTGTTTTGGTATATACGCTATCGGCCGCACCGACGGGGAATGGAACAGGCCTTTCCTTCGGTGGTTAGGACCCGCTAACTGCATAATGAGAGACACGCCTTCCGTTCACAAACCACGAAAAATGATTACGATCGTGATATACATTATAAATATGCCGTATATTCATGTGCAGAGCGTATATTCGAGTCTATATTTAGGTAGAACCCTTTCGTTTCTCTAGTCTGCACGGACGATTTCAGTGGCCAAGCTTGCCGAGCGGTAAACGCACAAGTGACCCTGCGAGAATACTCGCACTGAACTTCTCTCTCTTTTGCAAGTCAATACGACTGTATCTTGTCTATCGATCAGAAAAGTTATATTTTTAGTAGATTTTTTAAAGTGCGTACTATAGACCATTTTTTGTATATTACGTGACATGTTAATATTAATTTAATATTATTACTTCGTCGTGTCACTTCATTCAGTCGTATCGTTCTCCTGA